GGCTGCCCCGCTGCCCTCGTGGCGCCTCGAGTCTGCTGCCCCCGCCGGCCGGGCGCCCCCCTTGCCTGAGCGCTGGAGTCCCCGCGAACGCCGCGGCCAGCCCGCGCCCTCCCGCCGGCTCGCCCCGTAGACTCCCTGCGAAGTCTGCCGCAAAGCGAAGTTCATTTCCGCTCGCTTTTTCTTTTCGCGGGAAAAGCGCGTCGCGTTCATTTGCAGACTCCGTCGGGACGGGGCATCCCCACGTAGGCAAAGAAGCGCTGGCTGCAAAACACCTTCTTTGGCCTCGGATGTCGAGATGTTTTGATGCCTCACTTCGGAGTCTGCAAGCCTCGGGGGCATTTAAAGTGGTCTCTAAGTGTGTGTCCGTGAGAGGGCTCTTCGTGTCTGAGTAAATGCTTAAAATCTGTGTATGTGATTGGAACACAGTTCTGATGAACAGAGAGTAGCACGATGGCTCTGACTGTGCCTTTCCACCTATTCTCATTTTCAAGTGAATGAGAACAGACTGATGATCACTGACTCCTTTCATTCATTCATTTTTTAGCAAACACGGAGTGTCTGCCTTGCACCAGGCTCTGGGCTAGTTGCTGAGAATTCAGAAGTAAATCAGTCTCTCCTCCGGGACACCTGACTCAGTACAGAAGGGAGACACAGAAACTGAGAATTATAACAACAAACTCTGGGATCACACGGGAGGGGTGTTTAAAACCCCTAGATACACTGCATGTCTGAATCAGATTTCAAAAGCTGCCTAGAAGTTGGCTAGAGGAGGAGCGAGGTAGGGAAGTGTGAAAAAAGACTCCTCAGCATAAAATAGCAAAGGACCCCTTGCCTTGGCATCCTGTGCGGGTGGGAAATTAGACCAGAGGGACAGGAAGAGGCTGGCTCATGAAAAGCCTTGGAGGTTTGTTGCCACCTCGACAAAACCTCACTACTGTAGTCTGTACTGTAAAGGACCCTTATTTCACATGCTCAGAAAATGGCTTTTTTTCTCCTAGTTCATACATGAAAAAATGTGAAGTTCAACAATTAGGCAAGAACTATTAATCAGAAAACAGTATACCTGAGAAGCAAACAGTGGGTAACATATTTACTACTGACCGATTAACAGTAAACAGACCGATTAACAGTAAACAGTGTGTCAGGAGATTAACAGTAAACAGTGTGTCAGGAGCTGTTAATTGCACACACCAGACGGCAAGTTTCAGACCGATTAACAGTAAACAGTGTGTCAGGAGCTGTTAATTGCACACACCAGACGGCAAGTTTCATCCCCTGACGGTGTAAAGACAGGTTAGTTCAAGAGAGACACATAGGAAGTGTCAAATGGAAGTCAGTTCAAAAGGCCTCTTATCCAGCATCATCATTAAAACTTTCAAGCTTGCAAACAAAGTCCCCATTGCTTATTTTTATTTGTGGACACAATTTTTCTTTCTAAAAACGCAGAAGACTTGGGTTTTAGGTGTCTTAGAGAGAGGTGGCATGCAGGTGCAGGCGGGCAGAGCTGTGTGTGGGTGGGTATATGTGTGTGTGCATGCATGCATGCATGTTTGTATACATGCATACATGGGCATGTGTGTGCATGCTTGTATGTGCTTGAGAGGTGGTCATGGGATGGGATTGCAAAAGTTAAGCCCTTCAAAAGCCCCGTCCTTAAAGGTGTCAGCTCATTGCTTTTGAGATGTGCAAAACTGCCATTCCATCCCTTCAAATACATTCTGTGTATCCTTCACCACTGCCCAGCAGAGCTAGTGTAGGCCTAGTCCTTAGTGTTCTGTCTTTTAAGAGTCAAGAAAGAGCACGGTATGCTTTAGGGAGACACCTGACGGGGTCTTAGGAGATCTCGGTTCTAGTCCTGGCTCTGCTGCCCAGTAGCTGTGTGCTTTTGGACAATTCACTTGGCATCTCTGTGCCTCCAGTTTTCTCATCTACAAAAATAAGACCCCCTATAACTTACCTGCCTCACGGGTGTTGTGAGGATCAGGTCACAGAAGATAAGTTTGTGAATATACTTTGTGAAGCATAGAATGCTATAAGACAGCCGGGCTCAGTGGCTCAGCCTGTAATCCCGCGCCTTTGGGAGGCTGAGGTGAGTGGATTGCCTGAGCCCGCAGGTTCGAGACCCGCCTAGGCAGGCGAGACCTCATCTCTACAATAAATAAAAAAATCAGCCAGGCGTGGTAGCGCATGCCTGTAGTTCCGGCTACTTGGAAGGCTGAGGCGGAAGGATCTCTGGAGCCCAGCAGGTTGAGGCTGTGGTGATTAGGAGCGGCCACTGCACTCCAGTCTGGGCGACAGAGTGAGACTCCAACTCAAAAAAAAGAATGCTATAAGAATGCAAGCTAGTACTGAGGTAACGGTTCCACAGAAAGATTTTCCTTAAACTATCAATAGATTCAGCCACTAAATAGTATCTAAAAGCCCACTTCTCAAAATGTAGTCCTTGGACTAATAATAAGTGCATTGCCTGGGAACTTGTTATAAATGCAGAATTTGCACCCCAGGCCTACTGAATCAAAATTTGGGAAGATTCCTAGGTAATTGATGTGGACACAGTGCAGGTAGACAGAAGCATGCCATAAGCCACTGGTTTTAAAATCTAGGTGTGCATAAGGATTACCCAGGCCCAACTCAGAGATTCTGGTTCAGGTCTAGGGTAGGGCTCAGGAATCTGCATCAAGAGTCCTAGGCCCATACTTTGAGAAACACTGCACTAAGCCTTCAAGATGTCAGTCTTGGCTGGGTGTGGTGGATCGCATGATGCTGTAATCCCAGCAATTTGAGAGGTCGAGGCAGGAAGGTATCTTGAGCCCAGAAGTGAGTTTGAGACCAACCTGGCCAACATAGTGAGGCCTCGTCTCTACAAAAATAAAATGAGCCAGGTGTTGTGGCACACACCTGTGGTTCCAGCTACTCAGGAGGCTGAGGTGGAAGGATCACCTGATCCCAGGAGGTCGAGGCTGCAGTGAACTGTGATCGTGCCACTGTACTCCAGTCTGGGTAACAGAGTGAGACTCCGACTCAAAAAAAAAAAAAAATCAATCTCCATGATCTAGCTGTGTATCTTAGTAGAATCTCAGAGAATTCCTAGATCTGCTGCTACAACCCCAAGTTAAATTCTCAAAGTCAAACCCATATATTTCCTGAAAAAAAATTCCCCCTCACACTTTGCTTCTCTGTCAGCAAGTAGTCAGCCCATCTCATCATTGATATGGTTTTTGCTTTGATTTCTTGGGTTCTTTTGTAATTCAAAATTAAGTAGCTATTTTTAGGTTGATTTTAAATTATAGTCACCTCAAGGTACACATTTTGTTTATATGTAATAGATATATATGCATATCTAGCTTGTGTGCATATAAATATATATGTACATTTCACATTTAAAAAGAAACTAGAGAGTTCACAAAAGATACAACCTTATTTTTAATTTATTTTACCTTTCACTCCAAATGCCATGGTTTAAGAATTGTGAAAATTATTGAAGGCATATTTGTAGTTTGGAAATATTAGTTAATGTTTACTTCTAAACAGGCCTGATTTCTCAAAAAGTCCTTTCCTCCTTCATTTCTAAAATGGAGAGTTAAGAATATTGGTTGAAAACTAGTGTTACAATTAAGGAACGTTCTTATTTTGTAGAAAGAGAAACACCTGGAGGCATGAGGAGAATTCTGCTGGTTTTTCAGCAAGATAGTGTAGGTGCCAAAATAAGAATTCCGTTTTTGTACTTTCTAAATATTAGCTAAATGTCTTTATTTTCTATCATTAGAGATTGTCATATCATATCTTACTCCAGACTATTTGCCTTGATACGTAGACAAGATACACTCAACAGAAAGTCACCCTCTTTCCACCTACCCACTTCTTCCTTAGCCCAGCCTTGCTGTCATTGGGATTGGGTGTCCCCCGGGAGTCTTTTGGGGTAGGACAGGAAAGTCCCAACGCCAAAAAACTGTCCCACAGTCAGGATCCATCAGAACTTTGGAAAGGAGTTAAAAAAATCCCTCTTTTGTGTTTTCAGGAGATGCATTTAGAAGACACCACAAGATTCTGTCCCAAGGAAGAAAGAGAAAGTGAACAAACGTCTTTCAGCGATCAGAATCCCAGGCAAGACCAGAAAGGGGGCTTTCGCAGCTCCTTCCGCAAGCTCTTTAAAAAGAAGTGAGTAGCCCTTAGACAAGACAGCATTGTAACTCGTTTCCCTTTGGGCTAAGTCGTGAGGTCTTAACAATGATAAGTACCAAGTAGCTGGTCTCACACAGCCGCTTCGAGTTTAGTGCCTGTACCCAGTAGCCACGATTCTGCGGGGTGAAGATGTTCCTCATTGTACTCTCCCAGGGTAGACGCAGACTCGGCTCTCTCCCCTGCCTCTTCTGTTTTCTATCCCTCCTTCCTTGTTTCCAAAGTCCTGTGTCCTTGAGGAGTGAGCAGAGATGGTCGCCTGAGAAATGGGCTAGTGACAATCAGAGCCCTTGCAGACCGGGAGGAGTGGGACCTGCTGCTGGAGCTAGGTGTGATGTTTGCTCCCTCAGAATCTTCCCATCTGTGGGAAGTTCTCCAAGGGTGTCTCAGCACTTCTGCCTGGAGGGGCCTGTTGTCATTCTGGGTGCTAGAGCACGGTCCTTGGGACTTCTGCTAGTGTTTTCCCTGAATGAATGGATTTGGCTTGAGGCCTAGTTAAAGGTCACTTTAATGGAATTTCCATCCTCCATAGGAGGCAAACACAAGGCATTTTCCTTCTGTGGTCCTTCTCAGATTCTAAATCATTGTTGTTGTGGGAAGCATCACCCACCAGGCATTTTGGCCAGCACTGTCTTACAGTCTGGGAGGCAGTGGCCAAACCCCAGCATGAAGTGTAAGGAAGACAGAGGTGAGCACTGATGTTTGACTACAGAGGGCTTAGCCACTCCAGCTGTTGCCTGTCTGAGAGACTGCTGTCCTTAGGAGGGCCTCTCCTACCTCCTGATCCCTTAGCGAGATTTTCCCCCTAGTTTCTCTTGGGAGAGGAGGTTCTTGCAGTCGGTTTTAAATAGCAAGTCTTCATCTTTTAATGGATGGACAAGTTAAATAGAGGCATCACTGCTACCTTTGGAGAGCTGCTGAAATGTGCAGGAGCAGAGGGAGATCCCTTTCTCCTTGCAGGTAGCATCACGGCTGATTCAGATAATGGCTTTGATGGAGGACCTGGGGGAGGCCTGGAGTGAGGACTTCGTGATGGTTTGTCTGATTCTCCTCCCGCCGGGGGAAAGGCACTAAGATGAGTGGTTCTCTGGTTGTCGGTCTTGGCCATTGTTGCTGGAGAAGTGGGAGAGGAAGGAAGATCCTGGTTCTGCCATTAGCCATGGCCCCGTCCCCTCGCGGTTTTGCTGAGGAACCCCGTGCATGCACGCTTGGCTGTTGCTGGATCCTCAGACTGCTTGATGCAGGCGTTGAGGAGTTGAGAATTGTATCCCTGTCTCTACAGTTCTATACTTAGAGCTTGCTTGGCCCCGTGCCTACCTCTGTCAAGTTTGACAGGGGTAGGAGGACCTAGAAGCAGATGACTGTCCAGCCTGACCTTGGGATTTAGGCTCCTAAATCCTTCTAAGGACTTCAAACTCCCAAAGGCACTGCTTGAGCCTATCTTTTTTTAAAAACTACAGTATTCCCTAAACCAACAGCCACTTTTTCTCACTGTTGTTTATAATGACTGGGTGCTGTCGATTGGAGAGCAGTGAGCAATGGATTACAAATTACCATTTACCAGAGAGGTGTGAGAAAATGTTCTGCTGGTAGAGGAACTGTATCTGTCCTCTCTGGGCCCGGAGGGCAGAACCAAGAGCAGTGGGTGTGAGGAAAAATTTCCTAAAAAGGCAGCAGTCTGGCGCTGGTGCCGGCTGCCTCCTGAGGGAACGGGTTCCCTTCTAAAGAGGCTGGATGGCACGGTCAGGGATGCTCTGAAAGCGATTCCCGTGCAGGGTGGGGACTGCTTAAGAAGTTACCAGAGTTCTTTCTAGTGTGGAGATTTGTTTTATCTGTAGTTTGAGTTTGTCGCTGCTCAGTCTGAGTAATCACATCTTTTTATCACCTGAAACCAGAAGTGACTATGACTTTGGGACCTATCATTGTAAACCCCCTTCGTGTGGAAGGCCAGGCCTGCCATTTCTGTAGCCCCCACAGCCCTGGCGTAAGGGAGGGGATTGCTGTGGGCTCTCCACAGTCGTGTTGGTTCACAGCTGCCAGGCCTCTTTGACTTTTTGGGCTTCTCCTCACATGAAGAGCCAGTGGACTCCCTTAGTTCTGCTGTCCTCTGTCACAGAGCAGTTCCTCCTGCCTCAGTCACATTGCGGCCAGATACTGGCGCTGTCCTCCATACTTCAGGTCCGAAGTGTCATCTGAGTGGAGGTAAAAGGGGAGCCACAGATGACTCCCTCCCCGGCAGGCTTTGCTGGCTTCTTAGGTCTGGCCTGGGGCATGAGCACATCGGGGCTCAGGGTGTCGCAGTGGGCGCTCTGGGGACCCGGCATGGGAGAAAGAAGCAGCTGGTTACCTCTCGGGCGTGTGCTCCAGTTTAGGGTAGACAGGAAGGGCAGGAGGCCCCAGCGCAGCCCCAGCCTTGCACTCAGAGGAGAACACATCATCCTCTGCCTTGCGCGGTTTCTTATGAGTACCATGCAAGGCACTCTGTAGGAACCGCGAATGACACAGGCCCTGCCTGTCAAGGAACTTGCACCTGAAGCCAGGCACGTGGATAGGAAGGAACCAGAGAGACATTCAGCCCGTTCCCCGCCCGTGTTTCAGGAGGCCAGGCTGGCAGCAAGCCCTGTGACTTCCAGGGGTGGCTGGTCCCGGGAGCTAGATCTCTTGCAGAGCCTGGCCTCACAAGCCAAAGGCCAGTGCCAGAAAAGCCACCCGCGCCAGTCCTGGGGCTTGCTGCCTTTCTCCCCCTCAGCCCTCTGGAGGCTCAGTCCTGTCCACACTGATGCGCTTTTTGTTCCATAGGGGCTTGTTTGGCTGGTGGCCCCACACACCCAGAATGCTGCTTCGGGATGAAGCTAGGCATGGAGCCAGATGCAGCAGAAAACCCGAGAAAGGGTTCTCTTCCCTCTGAGGCTGGGAGGGCCGAATGCTCAGCCCCACGAGGATCCCAAAGGGAGAGTCAAGTTGACATCAGAAACACAAACCTGAAAAACGCCCACAGTAGCTGGGGAAAGGATGACCTTCTGATTGCTTCCATCTCAGGCACATGCGTCCTGGGTAGATACCAGGTTGCATGTCCCTGAAAGCTGCCCAGAGTTGATCAGAGGAAAGGCTTCATGTCTTAAAGATTGAAATGTCCAATGACTTCAAACATTACAATGAGGAGTCTTAGAAGCCAGGAGCAGATCTCATGTGATAGGCTGATGCTAGGCGACACACTCTTCCCCTGCCTCTGAGCAGGATGGAAGGCAAACTATCCTGTTCCAGCAGGGACTGCGTCAAGGCTGTCAAAGACTTAAGCCTGGACGATTGTGAGATCCGAGGCAGATGTTTCATCTTTACCTACAAATCTGGCACTTAGCTTAGCAGTGGAGTGTGGCAGTGGGGAAGAGGATTACGGAAGACAGTTTAGGAGTAGGAATGCAGACGGTACTCTCTCTTCTGATCCTCTAATTTAGGTGGGTGGCGGATGAAGACTGGCTTCCAAATGATTGAGTCTACTTCCTTGCCCATTTTCTTCCTCGCTAGCGCTTGATAAACTTACATGCCTCTGGGCGTCTCCATCCCAGTCACCACCCTCCCTTCACCAATCACATCAGAACCTATTTTCTTAATCTCTTTCTCTCTCTCTCTAAAACACACACACAGTGCATGCGTATGCAAAAGCACTTCTACACTGCTCCATAGACAGAAATGAGCGTCACTGAGTCCTCTTCATTTTGGCGTCCTCTCAACTGTCGTACACACCCAGCTTCAGCTACTGAGCAGGCGTGTCGTAGAAGGGACCCCGAAAGCCTCCGATGATGATTTTCTCCTCAGCTTGCTCTCTCTCGCCTCAAAACCCATCTCAAGTTCCTCCCCCATTCTGCCCACTTTGGGGTTCTTGCTCATTTCCCATTTCATGTCCTATATACTTTTAAAATGGGAGGGGACAGTTGAAGGGATAAACATTTTAGCTTACCTAACTCTGATTACAGATGTTTCTCAGTCAGAGAAGGGTTTCAGTGTACTAGATTCTGTTCAGCACAAAAGAAGTAAGAGAAATAGTTCCTGCCCATTAGGATCTTACAGTCCAACACGAGGACAACCCGGGTGCAAGGCGTGGAGCACTCAGAAAGTACTTACTGAGCGAATGCTCTTTGGCTGCGGGTTCTCCACAGTCATGTCGGTTTACGGCTGTCAGGCCTCTTGTGGCTTTTTGGGATTCTCCTTAGATGAAGGGCCAGTGGAGTCACTTAGTCCTCCTGTCTTTCGTGACAGATCAGGCGCTCCTGCCTCAGTCATATTGCTGCCACCGGCACTGGTGCTGTCCTTTGTAATTCACATCTGAAGTGTTGCTTTGGTTGCCAGGGCTGACTGACAGAGGGGTGTGCCCTGCTCCAGCTTCTGGTGATGCACGCATCTCCCCTAAAGCCCCCAGGACAGTGTTTCCGGTCAGAGTGCCAGCCCTGTCCCCAGCTCCAACAAGCTCTCAGGGTTTATTTGGAGCAAATCTAGACTCGTGTGATCCGCCCAACTTACTGTTTGTCTCTGTCACTAGAGTGGAAGGAAAGCTAGCAACAGGTCTGCTGTCTTTTCCTTTCTCCGTCAGATGCTGGGATGGCTTGTGAGAAGGCCACTGTGCCCTTCCCCAGCGAGTGTTCACCTGCCTGTCCCTTTAGTGTCTGCTCAGATCTGCCCTGCAGCCAGCCAGAATGGCTCCAGGAGCTCAAAAGCCGTTTCTGTTTTATAGAGAAAGGGAATAAAAGCACACTGGCTGGCCCCTTCTCCTAGACTGCAGGTTTTGGCAGGGTTACTTAGGGATGCATTCCTTCAGAGCCCTGCAGTCACGCCTTTGGAAGAGCCAGGAGGGCCATATAGCATGTAATCATTAGCATTATAAAGAGGACTGTTAAAAATCTCTGTAAAAGGATGAAAATGAGCTTTTAGTCAGGGCTACAGTAGAATGCTGGATTTTAAAAAGGATTAGCAAGTTATCCATTAGCTAATAGTTCACTCATATCAAGAACTGCAGAGAAATTCAGACTTTGGAGACATAGGGAAGGTACAATTTGTGAGGAGAGCAGTTAAAAGAAAAAAATGAAGCTGAGTTTGTGGACTTTGAAAACTAGACAGGGCGATTTTGGCATTTGTTTCAGAAATGGGAACGCAACGGGTGAAGATTTCTGTGGTCCTTGGGGCTGGTGGTGACATCAGAGCTTTCCCATTTTCAGGTAAACACTAAACAGTTGCATGTTGGAACCGTCAAAGTGTGCCATGTTGGGTTTTGGAGAGATCAGAGGTAGCCAAGGGGAAATGCGAGGTGAAGACTCCAGTTCTGACTCACGACTTTCTGCTGAGAAACTGTCCTGTGGGGGAACAATTCAGAAGAAATAGTAGCCCACTCAGGTCCTGCTCCCTGCTTCCTGCCCCCGAAACCGTAGGCACCCCTAGTGTTCTGGATACCAGAAGATACAGGGAAAGCAGGAAATGGTCAAAACACTGCTTCCAACGTTTTGGGCACAGTTGTACCAGCCAGGGATGACTTGGACTGGAGACAAGTGGGAGTTCTGAGAGAGAAGGTCTGAGTCTCAGGGTGGGGCATGTGGAGGCTGTTTCAAGGGGGAGTTGAGGGGGCTTCCTGCAAAGTGAGAGAACCTGGCCCCACCCAGGTTCTGGCCCCACCTAGCCCCACTGTGTCTGATGGTACCGCGATGTGCCGGAGTGAGAGAGAGAGCGAGCTGGGGTGGAGTGGAAAGCGCTCCTCGGTTCCACATCCCGGGGGAAAGGTGGAGGTACCTAGTCAGTCATCAGGTTCCCAGGCATCAGGCTTTTAGTCTCCATGTGGATCCAGCTTCTTTTCTTGAATAATGCGAAGGGATGTTTGAATCCTGCCCAGTAACTCAGTACTGATAGTCATAATTAACTTAGCTAATAGCAGCAATGAGCACTCAACAATAGTGGGCCAGGGCTAATGACGGGATGTGGAGGCCACTTGCCCTTCCTCTGTGGACAGTGGAAGCAGACCTGACTCAGCCTCATACACCAAGAGTTTGTTCAGTTGTGTAGGAGCTTTGGACAAAGAACTTCATGTCAAACATCACTTTCGTACATCCTGCATGAGGTTTTTTGAGAGTGGTTCTTAGTGTCTGGACTAGTTTTACTCATCCTAGCTCAGAGTTTAAGCTCGCCGAAAGGCCCAGTCTGGCTTCTCAGAGGTTATTTCCAGAAAGCCTCCTCCCTCCAGGGACTTCTGACATGAACAAACTGGAGAAGGTGCAGAGCTGGAATGGATTACCCAAGTGGCTTAACCAAGATAAAGGAAGAAGGCACCCTCGACTGGGGACTCCAGTGGACTGAGTGGAGTTGTTGACTATTGATTGGCCTTGGTCTTCTTTGTGGTGGTTGAGATTACAGTATCTCTGCAATCTGATTACTGTACAAATTTCTGCATTCTACCAAATGTAGCATACATGTGTGGTTGGCTTCAATAAATCTTTCATTTAAAAATGCAAACTAGCAAAAGCAAGAGTTTGTAATGTAATGCCAAACTCAGTAAAGGCCCTTGATAGTCTTGGTTGAGAACAATGAGTTCCACCCATTTTAAGTTAAGGGCCTTGGCAATTTGTGGAGTCATTACTTCATTAAATCAAAAATAGGATTTCTTGAATTTTCTGAGCTTTTATTCCCCTATTATGATGTTATTACACAATATCTTACACTGACATATACAATTGTCACAATTGTCCCCATAAAGCATTAGAAAGATATTCTCTTTATGTTTGATGCAAATTGTAGATACACATGTCCTGAGTCATTAAATTCAGGGGAGTAAAAATTATTCCAGATCTAGGAAGCAACTGTTTTACAAATGCAAAACAATTGGGATAGATAAAATATTTGAAAACAATTAAAACCAAATCAACCTGTACTTTATCTGTGTGCTGAGATTTTAGGTCCAGTGGATCAGAATACAGGGAAAAAACTAATGAGAATCCCTCAATGGATCCTTCACCCACCAAACAAGATTTCTTCAGAAACCGACTTGCTCTTGCAAATGACCTTGACCAAGGAACAGCTGTGTAAAACACTTAAAGTTGTATTGTCAAGTGGTAAGACGAGGATAACAAGCGTGTATATATCTGTGTAGGAATATATATATATATATATATATATATATATATATATCGATGTGTAAATCCCTGAGGAAAACTAGTATAAATATTTACATATGAAACTAAATCAACATACAAGACATTGAAGAGATGAAGATTAGTATATGGTTAAGACCTGACTTTTTGAATCTCAACATTTTGGGAAAAGGGAAACGAAGACTTTTCACATCATTCCAGAAAAACATAATACATGTGGAGGAAAATAAACGTTTGTTAAGAATGAAAACTTCTACCTTGAAGTCATTCCCCAAGAATTATATTAAGCATGCTCATATTTAACATGGATGTGAATTTTATGCTTCCTAGGCATTTAGCTTATTCATTCACCCCAGTGTTCTTAGATAATGTTCATCATGCTAGGGACCAGTTTTGGGTCTTTGCAAAACCCCAGGGCAATACCTAACATCCCTTAAGGCAAAGGATCAATCACCAGGACTATATTTTATATGTTGCAAATCTGCATTATGGAGAATTTGTGCTTAAACCGTGATACAGAAAGTTCACTGCTTAAAACACGGTATCTCCAAACTTGTTCTACAGTAATGGAAATCAGTAAAGGGAACATGGATTTCTATAGAAGCAGGTGGGCCTAGGAGGACCAAAGTAACATTTCCCTTGTGTGGGTTGTGCTGAGGATGGAAACAGGCCAGAATCTATGTTTCATTGAGTATTCAGTGTTCAAGATGTACTGGTGATCTTGGGTATCACTCACACTCATGACCAGATGGACTAGGAAAAAGCCCTGGTTTAGCTACATCCTCTTAAAAAGGCTTTTTTTTCAGTCTGGAAAGAAGGTTGCCACAACACCGGTGTTTTCATGGCTCTGCACAGTGGTTGCTACAAACACCAGGTGAGAATGGAAGCTCAGGGATGCAGTAGCTGACTTTCCCAGACGTAAGTTGTAAAGAAGCAAAGCTCTTGTAGCTCAGATGCAGCGGGGCCTGCCTGGCTGTAGGGTAATAAAGTGTGCTTTGTTTCCACATGGATTTGTCCAAGATGGTTAGTATCCTGGATGTGCCCCAAACATCCGATCCGTAATAGAAAAATATTTAGGTGCAAACAGTTGGTCTTTATTCCCAGACAGTTGCCTATGACGAGGAGTATTTGGTTTCTGTTCGTTCAGAATCTTGGTGCTCAACCTGACTTAAGAGGCTGTTCCTCTATTGATGCCTTTGCTGAAAAAATAGGCAGAGTTTCACTTATAAGTGTTTTTTTTCTCCTTTGTTTGATGACAAATTAGGAATGCATCTATTAGCATTTTGAACATGTCTGTAACATGTAAAGGATCACTGCCAAGTTTTCGGAGTTTCCACTATTTCAGTTTAAGCCAAAATTTTCATTTCCCTGAAATTAATGAATTCAGTTTTTTTCTGTTATCAGGCCAAAGTTTCGGGGCAGTGCTTGAAAGCACAATGCCAAACCAACTGGATGTAGAAAGTGAAATACTGTAGATAAAATGTAAACAACAATAAAATTCCTTTTCTCTTCATATTGTTTATCATAAAACAATCAATTCTTAGAAAGCTTAAAAAAAAACACCTCCCAAGTTGCTTTTTGATAGCATCTTCTGAAAAATCTTGATGCCACAGCTGTAGAACAACTCAATTCAGTTGTATTTTGTGAAATAAACCTATGCAACTAGTCATAATTAATGATGTTTACTTCCTCTATGGGTCTCCATCACCTAATATCTGGGTTTTTCTGGTAGCTTTCTAATTGCCTTTAAGTACTCTATCCTCCGTGTCTCTAACACATTAATATTCCCCAATACTGCTTTGCGTGAAACTCTTCAACTGTTCTTGTCTGTAGTCAAATTCCAAACTCCTTGACTTGACATTCAAGGCTTTTTCTCCAGTAGGGCTCCAAGGTTTCGTTCTGGCTGCCGTTTCATACTTGGCAGTTCTGGGTGCACTAATTTACCTCAACTGAACTGGGCCTTTGCTGTTTCCCAGTAAGCCATGCGCCTTGCCCCAGCTCACTTTTGCTTCATGCCTTTTCTCTAGTTCCTTCCTTTCTGCTAATCTTAAAATCCAGTTTAAACCTCCTCATCTTTTTGTGAACTCTTGTGGTGTAACTCTTTGATTTTTTGATGTATTTGTCTTATCTTCCCAATAAGAATGCAAGGCCCCTCATGGACAAGAACTGCACTGTATCTTTTTCTGTTCACTTCCACCTTTAGAATGTATGGTGCTCAATAAATGGTTGATGCCAATGTTCATGGTGGTGCTGTAACTGGTAGTGGGCTATAGAAATTAATTTCTACTCTTAATTTAACAAAGAGCTTCAGGGTTGTCACTTGACCTCCCTGCCTTTTTTTTTTTTTAAGAAAAAAATATTACCAAGGAAATAAAATACAGTTGTCTTCAGAAACATTTAAGGGCGCTACTGCCACTTTCACAGCATTAGAACACATTTCTCCAATTTAAAAAGTTTGCTAGTTTTTTGTTATCCTGGCTCATTTAATAATCTTTCTGGGTAGTACTATAAATTGACAGGGGAGCTGGGACCTTTAATGAAACGTTGACCTCCAGCCCTCTGGAGAAGTGCAGTTGACAGAGGTGACCACAGATGTCTTCGAGAAGTGTTTGGGCTGAGAAGCAGAAAGCAGCACTCTACCAACAGATGAAATGGATATTTTCACAGGCTAGGGGTCCAAAAGGACCCTAGCAGCCTTGCGAGACCTGTCTATAAGCCCAAGCAAGGACTGTTCTGCTTCTCTGACTACAGAAGTGGAACCTGTGAAGACCAGGTTTTGTGGACACTTTAGGGATCTCTCCGGTGGAATAGTCCTTCATGAAACAAATAGTTTAAACTAGTCTGGGACTCGAAACTAGGATGTGAGGGAAACCCTTTGAATGGTGTTTTCCATAGCATGTCTCATTTCCTGGCATCCTTTATGTCTTTCTCATATGCCACTTCCCTGAGGGCACTAGTAAAAATGCAGATTTCTGGGCACTATTTCAGTCCTGCTATATTTGAATATTTGGGGGCGGGGCAAATTAAAATCTGCCTTTTAAATGCAGTCATGCAATTCTTTGACCCACTGATTTTAGAGCCATTGCCTCTTAGCCCAATAAATGGTACAATCTAGTACATAAGTGTCAGCATTTGGATTCTTTTCATAGATTGAATTTTAGGGCAGGATAAAGAACTGATTATACTTACCCTGAGACACAGAAAACAAATAGTTCATGGAAACCCAAGTGAATATTTTTATGTTCTTTTTTTTTTTTTGAGTTGGAGTCTCACGTTGGAGTCTCACTCTGTCGCCCAGGCTGGAGCACAGTGGCACACTCAAGGCCACCACAGTCTCAACTTGCTGGACTCGGGCCTCAGCCTTCCAAGTAGCTGGAACTACAGGTGCGTGCTACCACGCCCGGCTTTATTTTTATTTATTTATTTATTTTTAGTTTGTTTTTTTGAGTTGGAGTCTCACTCTGTCACCCAGACTTGAGTGCAGTGGCCGCTCCTGGCCACCGCAGCCTCGACCTGCTGGGCTCCAGTGATCCTTCCGCTTCAGCCTTCCAAGTAGCTGGAACTACAGGCGTGCGCTACCACGCCCAGCTATATATTTTTTTAATTTACTGTAGAGATGAGGTCTCACCAAGTTGCCCAGGCTGGCCTCAATCCCCTGAGCTCTTGGCCTCCCAAAGTGCTGGGATTACAGGTTTGTGCTACCGCACCCTGCATATTTTTGTTTTGAGTTGGAGTCTCACTCCGTCGCCCAGACTGGAGTGCAGTGGCCGCTCCCGGCCACCGCAGCCTCGACCTGCTGGGCTCCGGCGATCCTTCCGCCTCCGCCCCC